TCCTTTAAACCATACTATCTATGCATTAAACCTTACCACCTTTCCATTAAACCATACCACCTATCCTTTAAACCATACCACCTATCCATTAAACCATACCACCTATCCATTAAACCATATCACCTATCGTTTAAAACATACCACCTATCCTTTAAACCGTACTACCTATCCAGTAAACCATACCACCTATCCATCAAACCATACCACCTATCCATTAGGCCATACCACCTATACATTAAACCATACCACCTATCCTTCAAATCATACCACCTGTCCATCAAACCATACCACCTATCCATCAAACATACCACCTATCCATTAAACCATATCACCTATCCATCAAACCATATCACCTATCCAGTAGACCATACCACCTATCCAGTAAACCGTACCACCTATCCATTAAACCATAAACGAACACCTCGCTATGAAACGCCCCCGCCCCGAACACATCCCCCTTGAATGCCTACCGGCAGGCGCAGTCGCACATCGCGGCCCGGTGATGTGGTAGTGAGTATGATACACTGGTGAGCCACTGTATCATACCTCATATTCAATGAAACGAGATGCATATCTGTCACAGCTTACTCACAGACTCTGTGTCAATCCAGTTACGGTTATCAAATACCTACACCACTATCAACTAGACAACTACAGCCAAAGAAAACAACTTAACCAGTACAACAACCACAGACAGCAAAAGACTCAGCCCCTCGATGGTCCAGTTCGCCCTCCCCTGAAAAGCAGGGTCACGGGAACTGCCAACACCTGCCGGTAGCCACAAGTCCACCCCGGACATCAGGCATTGTATATAGCAATAGCGTGCAAACAAATAAAGATACCTATCCATTAAACCATACCACCTATCCATTAGACCATACCACCTATCCAGTAAACCATACCACCTATCCATTAAACCATACCACCTATCCATTAAACCATACCACCTATCCATTAGACCATACCACCTATCCAGTAAACCATACCACCTATCCATTAAACCATACCACCTGTCCATTAGACCATACCACCTATCCAGTAAATCAAACCACCTATCCATTAGACATCACCACCTATCCAGTAAACCATACCACCTATCCATCAAACCATACCACCTATCCATCAAATATACCATCTATCCTTTAAACCGTACCACCTATCCATTAAACCATACCACTTATCCATTGAACTATACCACCTATCCATTAAACCATACTACCTATCCATTAAACCATACCACCTATCCTTCAAATTATACCACCTATCCATTAAACCATACCACCTATCCATCAAACATACCACCTATCCATCAAACATACCACCTATCCATTAAACTATATATCCTATCCTTTAAAACATACCACCTATCCATCAAACCATACCACCTATCCATTAAACCATACCACCTATCCATCAAATATGCCACCCATCCTCTAAACCATACCACCTATCCTTTAAACCATACCACCTATCCATTAGACCATTCCACCTATCCATTAGACCATTCCACCTATCCAGTAAACCATACCACCTATTTATTAAACCATACCACCTATCCTTTAAAACATACCACCTATCCAACAATCCAAACCACCTATCCTTTAAACCATACCACCTATTCATTGAACCATACCACCTATCCATTAAACCATACCACCTATCCATTAAACCATTCTACCTATCCTTTAAACCATACCACCTATCCATTAAACCATACCACCTATCCATTAAACCATACCGCCTATCCATTAAACCATACCACCTATCCATTAGACCATTCCACCTATCGAGTAAACCATACCACCTATTTATTAAACCTTATCACCTATCTTTTAAAACATACCACCTATCCAACAATCCATACCACCTATCCTTTAAACCATACCACCTATTCATTGAACCATAACACCTATCCATTAAACCATACCACCTATCCATTAAACCATACCACCCATCCTTTAAACCATACCACTTATCCTTTAAACCATCCCACCTATTCTTCAAATCAAACCACCTATCTAACAAACCATACCATTTATACTTTAAACCGTATCACCTATCCTTTTAAGTTCCATGACGCGTACGCGCCTGAGATTGTCGTCCAGGATTAAAACAAATTAAAGGATCTTAAACATGAACATGGTGTATGTGACCAACTTTTATTACACACAATAGACGCATATTGTATGTTACTATCCTTTTCTACACAACAGCCACTTGATATATATTACCATCCATTGCTACACAACATACGCTTAGTATATGTTATCAATCATTCTTTACTATATGTTACCATCCTTTGCCACACAACAGACACTTGATACATGTTACCATCCTTTACTATACTACATACGCTTAGCATATGTTACCAATGATTCCTTACTATACGTTACCATCCTTTGCCACATAACAGACACTTATTACATGTTACCTGTCGTTACCACACAACAGACACTTAATACATTTTAGCATCCTTTGCCACACAACAGACACTTAATACATGTTACCATCCTTTGCCACACAACAGACACTTGATACATGTTACCAGTCATTACCACACAACAGACACTTAATACATA